GTCTTCAGCTTCCAGTCTCCGGAGTGTGTAGGGAGATGCACTGCCTTGCCTCTCTCGAGAAGACACAACTCGTCGACTTTGTCGAGTATGACTGTACTGCTGACAAGAGCATGTAGTGAGCCGGGTCACTTCAAGGTCATCGGTAGCCGGCCCCAGCAGCGCTGAAATGGGCGGATCGAGCGGGAACGCCAAACAAGCCTTTAGGCTAGGACAGTTGCGACGCTTTTTTCTCGCTCCTGCACCACTGGTTGCGTCGCTGCTTCTTATCTCTGACGGGCGTTCTAAGGTTGCACCGTTGCGACCCCGCTATTCCCCGAGATACCTAAATCAGGTACCGAAAGTGGCATTGCTGCACCCTACCTAAGTCTATGCGGCGGACAAGACACCTACGAGCTGCACTACATAAGGCAAGCATGCAAGACGCACACGTGCCACGAGTACTTTTGGGCACGTCGCCACGAGTACTTTGGCTAAAGTTTGATGTGATGTGTGCTGTTATCACGACTCGTCACGCTTTCTCCGCTTGCAGATTGTTGGCTGACTCCATCCACATTACAAGGGGCGGACGGTAGATCGAGACCCATCACCATGCAGCTGTATTTAAGAATGATGCGGCGGCCTTCTGTCGTCTACTACACTTTTGTGCATCTCAGTCTCGTTTGCTTGCATTCGAAGCAATCGCGGGAACATCCAGATTGCCGTGCCCCCACCCTTGGGCCCATTCCCACCCTCACAGTTTCTAAAGGAATACGAGACATGAAAAATGTCTTTCCCCAAGTCTTACGATAATGATGTAGAGATAGAGGCAATGCGCAATGGATCTGATGTCGACGGAGGCGCGGTACCTGGGGAAACATTTGTGCAGGACGAGAGCCTGTACGCCAAAGTTCAACGGCTTGCTGGACGATTCCATGTAGAGCAGAGAGGCATAGAAAGAGTGCCGGAGAACGAGAGATACGACAATTCGCTTCTCAATGTCGGGACCATGGTGCGTAGGGTCTATCCTATCCCGACAATGTGCGGCATTAATTCAAGCCATAGTGGCTTTCTGCCAACATGGTGGTTTCTTCTTTCGCGATCGGGCTTCTCGCGCAGAGGGTGTTCTACCTTGGATTTATCGACGCCTGCCTCGTATGCTTGTTCTTTAACCTTCTCGGAGTCATCCCAGTGTGTTACTTCTCTACCTTCGGGCCTCGGTTTGGATTGCGTCAAATGGTCCTTTCGAGGTTCTGGTTCGGTTGGCATGGAGTCAAGATCATTGCTGTCTTCAACATCCTTGCCTGTCTCGGGTGGTCCTCCATTAACTCCATTGTAGGCGCCCAGCTGATCAATGCCGTGAACAACGATGTACCTGGCTTTGCTGGTGTCCTCATCATCTCTTTCTGCACTTTGGTCGTGACTGTCTTTGGTTACAAGATTGTGCATGCATACGAATTCTGGTCCTGGATTCCGACAACAATCGTCTTCATCATCGTCCTCGGCGTCTTTGCTCACTCTGGAGCCTTTGTCAATATCCCGATGGGTGTCGGTACCAGTGAGCTCGGAAGTGCGCTTAGCTTTGGAAGTGTCGTGTACGGCTTCTCAACAGGGTGGGCGAGCTATGCGGCGGACTACACGGTGTACCAGCCCAGTAGCCAGTCCAGAACAAAGGTGTTCTTCGCAGTCTGGGTCGGGCTTATCGTCCCACTCCTCTTCACTGAAATGCTAGGCATCGCGATCATGACCGCCACCACGATAAACGACGGCGACAATAAGTATGCACATGCATATGAAGAATCAAAAACAGGAGGCATACTAGCTGCCGTACTCTTTGAGCCACTCGGGGGCTTTGGCAAATTCTGCTTAATCATTCTCGCCTTAAGCCTCGTCGCCAGCAACTGCCCAAACATCTACTCAGTCGGTCTGACTGTTCAGGTCTTAGGCGGACGCGTCACACAACACGTACCTCGATTCATATGGACAGCAGTTGGTACAGCAGTCTACATCGCAATCGCCATACCTGGTTACACGCACTTTGAAGATGTGCTCGAGAATTTCATGAACTTCATCGGTAAGCTTTCTATAACTCATTACTGCTGCTCAAGTAACTCAATTTCCTAGGCTATTGGCTCGCAATCTACGAAGGTATCGCCCTTTGCGACCACTTCCTGTATAAGCGCACGATGGCAGCATACGACCCGGCCATTTACGACCAGGCTTCGCTACTTCCACCGGGAATCGCAGCCGTTTTCGCATTCTGTTGCGGTATCGCGGGCATGGTACTGGGCATGAGTCAAGTGTGGTTCGTTAGTCCGATAGCGCGGAAAGCCGGCGAAGCACCTTTTGGAGGTGATATTGGGTTTGAGCTGGGTTTCGCGTTTGCTTTTACTAGTTACGCGATCGCGAGGAGGGTTGAGTTGAAGTACTTCGGACGATAGATGTACATCACTCTCTGGACAATAAGGCAAGCATGCGATAAGCTCCAGCACCAGGTACCGCAATGATTCGTGCGCGTTCGTTTGAATTCAATCTACTATTCGAGAGCGACTGTCATCTTATATACAAGCCTGAATAAACCTGATGGCTGGTTAGTGCGTTACGAGGAGCTAGGAAAAACCTTCAAGTTGGACAGCTTGACTCAACTGCTCTATGGTCCTTAGGAGTATAAGGTACAGCGCGCACGATTCGTTGCTGCGCCTGGTGCCGGTATCCTAGCCTAGCTTAAGCAAAGCAAGGCAAGGTGTTCCGATACAATTAATTGCTTAACGCTTGGATCGAATATCCGAAGCGGGTTCAGGACATCGCTGCTAAGACGATGCGCAGATGCTTCATTCAAATCTGGCGCTCAACGTCTAGTCTGCAACCTTCAAACCTTAGATTTATTTCTCTGTCCAAAAAACCCTACAAAACGGAACACTCCAGCAGAACTGAACTGACGACCACTTCCATCCGACCAATCCCAAACATACCGCGGCACCCCGCCCATGACGTCCCCATCGCACGCTAACCCACGCGCAAATCGCCGACCTTTCCAAATCCCAAATCCTGGTTCGCGCTACGCCGGTCAGATCGACGTGCCCGGTGGACAGATGTGGCGTTGCGCCTTACCCGCTTCGCGAGTGATCTACACCACGATGTGTAGATCTTACCACCACACAGGGAAGACGGCGGCGGGAGATCTAAGAATTGGGCGATTCGTCGTCGAGGTGTCATTGTATTGGGGAGGTGCGGATTGGGTAGTTTATGAGTTTAAAGGGCCCGGGGGGGATCCTTTTTGTTTGAGGTGTATACTGCTCTTTGTAGCCATTCATTCTGTTGTTAAGATATGCGTTTCTCTCTCGCTTCTGTGCTGCTAGGCGCGAGTGCAGTCTCAGCTCAATCGCTGCTGGGACTGCCGCTGGATATAGCTACGCTACTGTCAAGCTTGAAGCCCGCTGCGGATAACGACCCGCGATTTACGGATTTCCATCCTCCAGGCACTGGCGATGTGCGCTCGCCATGTCCAGCTCTAAACAGTACTTCACCCATGCCCCCTTCAAAAACCCCATGTCTAACCTCCCCTAGGCCCTTGCTAACCACGGTTTCATCCACTCACGACGGCAAGAAAATGACCATCCTCACATCTCATCAAAGGCCTCGCCGAAGGCATGAACATCGGCGCAGACTTCACGACCGCCATCGGCGCCGCCGGCCTCCTCTCCTCCCCCTTCCCCCTCGGCGGCTCCTTCGACCTCGACGATTTAAACATGCACAACTTCCCTATAGAGCACGACGCGTCGATATCCCGACAGGACGCCGCGCTCGGCAATCCCCAGCCCTTCTACAACCCCAACTGGCAGCAGTACATCTCCTTCTTCAGCGGCAAGACGCTAACCGATATACCGACGGCCGCACAGGCCAAGTTCGCGCGGTACCAGGACAGTGTGAGCAAGAACAAGGAGTTTGTGTATGGGATTCGCGAGGCGGTGTTGAGTTATGGGGAGAACGCGTTGTATTTGCAGGGCATGGCGGATCCGATATCCGGCAAGGCGAAGGTCGAGTACGTGAGGACGTTCTTCGAGCAGGAGAAGTTGCCGTATGCGCAGGGATGGAGGCCGAGTCCGGCGCCGATCACGCTGGCGAGTTTGGGAATTATGATTGGGGAGCTGTCTGCTTCGAGCCCGGAGCCGTTTGCTGAAGGGGTCAGGGTTTTGGACGTAAGTGTGGTTGTGTTTGCTGTGGTTGCGATTGAAAACTAACAACCAGTAGGGATTCGTATAAGGATGTATTGATAGCCACTGTTGGTGGATCGAAGATTTTGGCAAACCTTACTGAGGGTATTAGCTCTGCGCTTGGACTGTAAATAGCAGGCAGTACAAGGAAAAATGGCGAATAATTCTTTCATCTCGACGTTTCGGAGAAGGAGCTCCTGGCGGTGAACTCACTCCAGATTACTATCCATGATCACCTCAATCCAGGGCCAGGACGAAATATCGGCATTTCAGCGGAGTGTATCCATATCGCGGCAGTAGCAAGCCCAAAGGTCGAATCCCATTGTCGAGAACATGCTTCAGACATACATCGCTTCATCCATTTTCAAACTACCAGCGTTCGGTCCCCAGATTATCATCCCTCAGAATCTCCGATCCCCGTTATTTCCACTCTCAGTCGGCATCTCAACTTTTCCATGTGCTGGCAGCTCCGCCGGGTCGTACTGCGCCACGTGGTCCACATCCATCTCGTGCAGAACTTTCTGCTGTCCACGCACAGGGGTATATGACGTCTCAACTACAGCTCCCTTTCGCTGGTTCTTCTTGCGTCTTAAAAGTAACAGCGCGCTGGCGAGGAGCAATGCAGCACCGAGGAGCGCGCCAACTATAATACCCGCCAAGGCCCCTTTCGACAAACCACCGGAGCTGCTGGCTTGCGGTGAGGAGGTAGAGGAGGACGAAGAAGTGGGTACAGACGTGGGTGTAGACGTGAGCGAATTCGACTGTGACGCTTCAGGGCTTGACAGCATGAGCTTGGTCGGTGCGTAAATGTCTTGGTTACTTGGGGAATTGTAAGTTTTCCCTGGTTTCTGTTTGCACATATCGACTACCGTGGCAAGTACTATTTGCATTCCGCTGTCAGATGCGCGGAAAATAATAACGTTGGCCGTAGAACGTACCGTTACCCAGCGTGGTCAGCCCTGGAGTCTCGTACAGACAGTCTAAACATGACTCTGCATCCTGGGTAAAGTTCCCAGCGGTATCACAAAAGTTGTAGCTACTTGGCGCGCTCTTGACCATATAATCGGCTGCTGTATAGAGTTTGGTGCATCTGTTGTTGCATGCGGTATAGATCGGGGAAGCGGATATGTCCTTATTAGTTTCTTCTCCGAAGCGGCCAAAGAGACACCAGTCAATGACGCCGCGATTATTGACTGTAGTGGTGTTAGACACAATCCTGTGTATGAGAGGCGATTCCAGGGTCGCCCAAAGGAAATATGCGTACACAAGAACCACCCCACGTCCCTCTCGTTCCAAGTGGTTTCTGTATATCCACTGCTCTTTAGACAATTGTTGCAGTCCCTGAACTTCAGCCCACTTTGAGTGCTATTGGCACCCGAAATTTCCCAATCAAAACAGAACAAGTCGCGGTTGAACGTCAGGGAGTCGTCTCGGGAGGACGCGTTGCCAGTGCGCGGATCATCGATGCATTTTGGTGAACATGGGGAGTCGGGAGAAACTTCAAGGGCGGATGTGAGAGACGTGAGGAATAGCAGGCATATGGATGTGCGCATGGTGGACAGCAAAGTTCTTGTTGTGCGAGGCTCCAAACCGGAGATTGAGGATGTGGGCGGCATCCCATCTACATAACTTCGCCCCTACAGTGGGAGGTTCCCAAGGCGTCCAAGATCCTCTAGCTTTAGCATTATTCAGCTGTGATCGTCGACGCTCCGAGTTGTCACAGCTGGGCGCAATACGGTAAACGAGGCCAGCCTCACGCTAGTAGCCCATTTCGGATGTGACTTGGTCGGATCTGATTGTGATTGGAGCAAGCGACCCAGTAGCTGGTCATCCTTGGGCAGGGGTTCGCGTTTTCGCATTGGAACCTTTGTGCTCCTAGGCAAGTGCTGATGTCCGCGATTGGGGGCCAAATTCAACAGTCTTGGGCCTTGGCTATGGAGTTTGCGACTCGGTCCGTAGCGATAAGTAGCGTGATGCAGCATTGGTGGTCCATGCATCTACATCCGGCGCTTCACCCTCGTGAGCGCGCGCTCGACCACATTCCTACCAAGCTGCGGTATGCTCTTTACAACTGCTTCCGCCCAAGCTTCGGGCTTCAGCTTCGTCCCTCGTTCGGCTCTGTTACAACAGCCTTGACCTCGTAGCGGCGCGGAGGATCTCTCAGGCCAGGCCAAATATCTAGAGGCAGAAAATCGCCCTGCGCGAGCGTAAATTGGTCCCTCGCACGCTCATCTTCGGCGTAGAGCCTGTCAAGCTCCCTCTGTGCATCTTCTGCCTTTCTTTTCGCCCTCTCGTGTCTTCTTCGGGCGCGACGATATTTCAACCAGCAACTCTGCATATGCGAGATCGAAGCGTTCGTAAAAGTCGCGCTGGTTCTCCCACTCCTCGATGCCGGTGACGAGAGTGGGCCGGGTGTCTTGGAGCCACAATGCGTGGAATGATCGCGATGTGGTAATGTGTGTCTTGACCTCGCCCGTGATCTGCGAGATCATTTTGAGTATGCTTGAGAGGCCCGAGGCTTCGTTACGGAGATGGTTGATATGGTTCTCGATCTGGGTGAGGAGGAAGGTCATTTCAGATCCACGCTCCCTGATTTCAGTGACGACATCGTTGACCTCGTGTGCGTCGTTGACCAAGACAGCAACCATTTCCTGCCGCTCAGCTTCGCTCATGGGCTCGGGCGGTGCAGCAAACTCGTCAGTGGAGTGAGTCGGAGCATCGCCTGTGGCCTCGGTTGCCGCCGCAGAGCCGCCTTCGGTATGCCGAAGGGCAGTCACACACAGATCGTAGTGCTGGACAAGCGACTGGAAGGCCTGTGCAGCCTCCTTTGCATGTGCTTCTAGATCCTGGTACAGGCTCGGTATGGGACTCGGCAGCGATGCGCTTGCAGGTGTCAGCGGTACGTTCTCAATGGAGGTGTGCAGGTTGTCGAGGGAGGTATCGAAGGCATCGTTGCTTTCATCGAGGATGCGATGCGCTGCATTGTAGCGGTCAATGCAGGCGCGCAGGGTGCCTTCGAGATTGGAGACGGTGGCGCTGTCGATGAAGTCGTAGAGGTGCTTCTGCGGCGTGCCCCGGAGGTTGCAGCGCGGCTTCGATGGGCGTATCGCGGAGCACGGCGAGGGTAGCGTTGAGACCCGTAAAGGAAGTGTCTACGTCATGCAATAGTTGCTGGCCATGCTTAGTGAAATCATAGGAACAGGAGGGATAGCATACCTTGAACTCAACTGTGATTTCGGCGTCAAACACATCTATGCCACGACGGACAGCCTCGAGTGCATCTACCTGTTGTTCTACAAGGTTACGTATCGACGTGTTCTTGGCAGCAAGCACTGCATTCTCCTCGAGCAGCTGGCGAGCTGTGTTGACAATGTCATTGGCGCGCCAGAGCACCGTCTGCGTGTTCAGTGAGCGCTTGGACGCGACGAAGTGCTTCACGAGATCTTCCAGTGTTGGCGGGCCATTCTGGTCAATGGACCTCCTCGAGCCAACGCTACTGGTCGAGGATGTGGGCGAAGGCTGCGATGCCATGCTGAGCTCGCAAGTATGGAGTAGGCAGAAGCGAGAGATGGTCAAGCAGTTCTAAGTAGATACCAAGGTGTGTCCAACAGCACGACAGATCTATCTTGTAAAGAAGATATACAGTTCATGGCAGGTATCAGTAGGGCTATCACGAAGCGCGTACTTGGTTATAAAGATGGCCAGGCTGTCGTGTCGTTGTGAAGCTCAGATGGTGGATTGTGAGGTTGCTTCCCCCATACGGAGCTAGGTAAGGCTAGAATAGAGCTTGGCATCCAGGGTCTGGACCCACTTTCAGCGAGACTGCAGGAACACATGCTCGAGAGAACGATGATGCAGCAGAGGGTCGGCATGACTAACAGAAATTCAGATGCTGCAAAAGTCGCTATACCCAAGTTCAGATCACGTGCTGGTGGGCAAAAGAATGGTTCTGCAGCGAGGAGAGCCGGCCCGTTCTGATTGCGAGCGATTGCGTGCTGCTCAGAGCATTGCGCCATCGCCAAACTTCGGGAGGGCGGCGACCAAGCGACCACCCGAATCGCCTGAGAACGCATCTTGGATCCCCCCACGCGCCCGTTCAAAAGCAACATCGTCGCCGGCTGACTGTCGCCATCTTGCGCAACGGGCAATCTCTCCTCTGCATCCATCATCCTACCAGTCTGAGCTGCCCGCACGCCACTCCCCCCACCGACCGGTAGTGGCTTCGCAAGCGATAATCCTGGGCATCGCGTGCTATTGCCGCATTATTCGCAACGAGCTCGAGTCTCACCGCACCTTGGGAATGAGTCGTCTGCGCCAATCTGCGCCGTCTTAGGTCCTGCTGGGTCCCGTGTAATACAGCACGGTGATACGTACCTGCCGCCCGACATGGCCACTCATACCACGCACACCATCGATGTCGCAACCGATCGCGACTTCCCTCCCGCTCTGCCCGGTACCCCAAAGCAGAGCAGAATGTCCTGGAAGACACAGACCATGTCTTCGGGCCTCTTGACTGACGCTGCGACTACTTCAACCACCGACCACCACGCTGCCCTGATGCACGCGCCACGACCACGCAGGGGCTGTCTGAGCGCACCCGACATACCCACGGCGACGCCGCGGCTGAGCACCTCGACGAGCGGAAATCCAAGCAAATAGGGAAAATGATTACGCCATACCTTGCTCAGCACATTCTCAGCAGTACTATCCCCAGGGCGTCGGACAGCAACGGCAGATGCGTCGCGCTCGACCGCCGACACCAAGTACTGGCT